TCATCTCACTGGAATCTCTCCTGGCCCAGAGGCCCTGGGTCCAGACCCCAAGAGAGGGGAGGGAGACAAGAAGCCAGGGGGCTTCCAAAACCAGGACAGGGATTCAGTACTACAAATTCTGCCTAGAAGACACTTCAGCATTTTCCCCAGCAGCTTCTGGAACCTCAGCAGGAGACCGAAGAGACAAGCAGAACCCTTCATTCACCTGTCCCGACCCTGCCACCGTCCACCCGCCTGGCCCGACTCCCCTCCCTGCTGGGTGCTGCAGTCACCTTAGACAGGAGGGAAAACGCGGTGCTTTGCCAACATCATCTCTTCCAATCCTGAGAACAAAGGTACCTATGAGGTAGTACTTATTACCCACATCTTCCCGACGAAGACAGAGGTGCAGTGAGGCGACCTGGCTTGCTAAAGCTCTTAGTAAGTAGCAGAGCCAGCATTTGATACAAAGAGAAAAATCAGAAGAGACATGGGCTGAGGTGAGATCAAGGGGCAGAGAAGCAGACAGGCTGAAGGCGTCTCGTGGAGGTTGGCTGGGGCTGGCAGGAGGCAGGGGGTGCTGTGAGTGTACAAACCTGTGGAAACCTGGCTCAGGGCGCAGAGAAGGCAGGGAGACAGAGAAGGCTGTGGAACAGACAGCCAAGTGGGAAAGCACTGACTCCTTGCCCAGGTTCTGGGTCGGGCCACCCAGGATCTGGGCCAGGCAGGAGGAAGAGGGGGTCACCTGCCACAGGTGAGGGGCCTGCTAAGCCCATCACACCTCACCTACCCAGTGGGCTGCCCAGGGGAAGTCTCTGAGATGCCAGCCCGGCAGAGGACGCTGACTCTGCCCAGAAGGAGGAGTTGTCCGGTGTCTGCTCTGAGGACCAGGGCACCCCCATGGCCAGCATGAGTCATCATGTTGACCAATCCCACAAGCAGGAGGAGCGGGTGATGCTCTGCCTTGGGTCCACCTGTCCCCAGAAGTCCTGCTCACGCTTCACAGAAGCCTCATTCCCTCAAGCCACAGGCTGTTTGCTAAAAACGCAATTCCCAGAGGCCCCTCTCAGGCCCCCAGGAGGACGCAGCTTCTCAGGTGGCTCCTTGGAGGGGAGAGAGGACAGAGCGTGGGGCCCGCAGGACGGAGGGTGCTTCTGATCTGGAATTCTGAGACTCCTGGTTCCTACATTCAGGCCCTCATCAGCGTCCTGCTTCCCAGCCACAGCTCCTCCCTCAGCTTTTGACTCAGTTTCCCCTCCTCATCCTTTAGCTCTGCAGAGGCTTCTCTGATCTCTCTGTCCAGCTGAGACCCTCCCCTGCCCCCAACATGGGCTCTCAAATCCCCCATATATTTTCATAGATAGCCCCTACCACAGCTACAAACTTCAGTTTATTGGATGGCTGGGTGACCAATGTCTGTTTCTCCTGCCAGACCCTGAGCTCCGGAAGGTCTGGAGCACGGTGGGTTTTTTTCTCGGCATTTAGCACAGAGCGTGTAGAGTGTTGTAGAATGAGTTAATTCTCTTCGGTCCTTCACACAGAGCCCCTCCCTGTTCTCAAAGAGCTTAGGGTCTAAAAGGCTCAGATATCACACATTATGCCACTTAATCCTCACCCCCACCCTGGAGGCGCTGTCGGTGTTCCCACTTTAATGAGAAGAGCTTCAGACAGCTCATCACTAGCCCGAGTACGCAGCAAGTAAGCGGCTTTGACCTGATATGTCTGTTCCAGAGCCACAGCTCTGCCCACTACACCACCCTGCTTTCCTTCCCCAAGGGTCTCTGAATCTTCCCTTGCTCACTGTCCCCCGCCCCCACCCCCCACACGCTGCTTAAGCTCAGGACTGACAGGCAGAATTCGCTCACTCAACCACTCCTTCACTCAGCCCAGCAGCCGGCTGTCTTCTAAACAGAAGCCGGCTGTCTTCTAAACAGGGCCTGCCATAACGAGATGGAGCACAGCTCGAGGAGCCCTTCAGGGGAGCAGGGGCCTTTCTCCCACCCGGGTTGCCCTCTCTGAGGCTTTTCCAGCAGAAGCGAAGACCCAGGCAGCTACCCTGCCCTCAGACTCTCGTTCACTGTTCACTGGGGAAGGACTAAGCACCAGCCCTTATCATCCCCCCTCCCCAAAGGACAGCAGCCTAAAATATACAGGCTGAAAAATACAGAGGAGCACAGTCCCCAGGTCTCTGCACTCTGAGGACTCCAGGACAAGAGAAGGGACAAAGTTAGGCACGATGGCTCTGCCTGTAATCCCAGCACTTTGGGAGGCCAAGGCAGGAGGATCGCTTGAGCTCAGAAGTTTGACACCAGCCTAGGCAACATGGCAGAACCCCGTCTCTATAAAAAATACAAAAGTTAGCATGGCGTGTGCCTGTAGTCCCAGCTACCCACGAGCCTGAGGCGGGAGGATCGCATTAAGCCCAGGAAGTCGAGGCTGCAGTGAGCTGTGACTGCGACGCTCCAGCCTGGGCAACAGAGAGAAATCTTGTCTCAAAAATAAAAGAGGGACAGAATTCTGCCCCCCTCCTCCCAGACAATGCTTTGACTGTCCTCTACCCCAGGCAACTCTGGAGAAAAGTTTTGGACTTAAGTCACAGACTAGGGTTCTAGCTCTGGGCCTGGTGCCAACAGTGGTACCCTCTGAGAATAAGTCACCTTGCCTCTCTCTGAGCCGCAGATTCCTCATTTTATCTGCAGGATGCGGGTGCTGATGATCATTCTAAAGCCTGTCCCATAGGATTGAAGGTGAGGATTCAATCATTCAGACCCAGAGATAGAGTTTTCACATACATGGTTGACCAGCAAAATGTCTTGGCAACGTGGGGACGCCTAGGGGCCTGCTAAGCTGCCTGCGTACACTTGGCAATGTGATTCCGGGAAGGCTGTAAGGGAATGCCCCTAGTAGGCCGAGCCCAGAGCCTCCCTTCAGTGGACCTTCAGCAGTGGGAGCCCCCGCCCCTTGCTCAATGGTAGTGGGGAAGCTGTGCTCAGTCAGCCCACCAGCCAGGGGCCCTGAGGAAAAGGTTGGAAATGAGACCGAACACACTGACGCTCAACTTTTCCCAGACTTGGGCACCTGGAGCTCCTCTAGACAGGGCAGGTGCCAGGAACTGGAGCTCTCAGAATCACAGCTACTCTCAGGCCCACCTTAGGACAAGCGTCTCCCTCAAGATTCCTTCTTTAGTTGGATTCTCCAGGATCTAGAATCCTCGCTATACAGACAGCGTCCATTCACTGGGTCCAGGCGCCAGGCCAGTGCGTTATGTGCTCTCTCACTGACACCTCACAACAACCCTGTGGAAGAAGATTGATCATTACTTCATTCTACAGATGAAGAAACTGCGGCTCGAAGAGGCGAAGTGATTCGCCCAAGTCACAGAGCCAGTTCGTGGCAGAGCAGGGATTCATACCCAGGCCGGCCTGCCTCTCAGCCTAGGAAGTGGGGAGAATCACTGACAAAGACACAAAGCAAAGATCAGTTCCGCCTGTGCTCGGGGGGAATTCTCTCCCTGCTGCTTGTGATGAGTCATGGAAAGCACAGGAAATTCTTGTACCCGCCACCCTTGCTGCAGGAGCAAAGATCCCCCAGAGACCATCAATGCCGAAGCCCACTGACATCCACACACCTCATCCCACGCTCCAACACACCGTGTTCTGCCCTGCAGACACCCCATACCCTGGAATTCATACTTTCCAATTGAGGAGATTGGGTCTCTATTCTTCGGACAGGGAAACTGAGGCGGATGGGAGGCGGGGCAGGAAGAATGGTGCCTGGACATCCATGACTGGGCTGAGACTACAGTTCATCTCTCCAACCTCTGAGTCCGCGATCTGACCTATGCCCTGCACGGTGGCATCACAGCCCAGAGAGGTTTAGGGCCATGTCCTCGGTCCAGCATGGAGGACCCATTTTCAACTAACAGTAAGTACCAGGGCATCTTTGTTGTTTTAAGGATGGAAGTTTTCCTCTCAACCCTTATTGGCCACGTCTGAGCTTATGGGCTGTATCAGGAGGGCTACTTCTGGGGCAAGCTGACGTCTTAGGCGCTCTGAGAAGGTCCCCGCACTCTCCATAAACTCCAAGAAGAGCACCTCACTTCCTGGGATGAAAACCCAAAATCCACTCCAGCCCAGACAAACCTCTGCTGCCTTTGGCAGAAGAAAAGACTGTTAGAGGAGGCAAAGAGAAAATGGGAGGCGGCATTTGTGAGGATGGCGTGAGGCTTCTCTGAATCCTATTCAGAATTCCTGACCAGATGGCCACTGGGGAAGGGAACAGAGAACCGGTTGGCGACCCACAGCTGTCGCCCATGGTATCCAGGAATCACTGACAAAGGCACACACAGCTGCACAAACACAGGTGCGGCCACTCTGGACGCTCTGCTGCCCTCGGGGTTTCAGGGGCTTGACAAGAACAACAGTCACATTGTTACATTCAGACAGAATCACAAACTGACCGTTAGGGACAAGCACACACCAACAGATGAGCACCAAATATGACTCCGTAAGGGCCCCACGGCGAGGTGCTGACACCCAGCACCCTCCTGTCTGCCCTGCCCGCACGGTGCCCTCACACTGGTCTCCCCAAAGGCCCGCGGCACCTCAGAGCAGCTCTGCCCACCCCATGGGCATGTTTCCGACGTCCAAACATACAGTTGTACTGTCACAACCATCTACTCACAAACTGTGACAGATACACAAACTGACGCCAAACTGTCCCACAAAGAAACAAGGGGATGCCAACAGATGATCAAATATAATTTACTCAACCGCGGTGCAACCCCCTCCACCATACACACACACACGCGCGCGCGCGCACACACACACACACACACGATGACACACATTCCTGTGTCCCCCTCGATGTAAGTGGCCTCACCTCTCGCTGGGCCCCAGGTGCCCCTGCTGGAAGTGCGGAGGCGCAGGGAGTCCAGGGTCCGGGCTTGGGGTCCCAAGTTCGTGATCCCCACCCTCCCCCCCGGACCCCATCCCTGCGGTGCCGGCCCGCAGCGGACTCACCGTACGATGCCGAACATGACGAGCACGTTGCCCAGCAGCCCCACGGCGCACACGGCCGAGTAGAGCGCAGTGATGGCGATTGCCAGGGCGAGGGACGAGGCGCTCCGCGCACCCGGCGGCCCCGACGCATTGGCGCCAGCGTTGGGGAAGGCGCTAGGGTAGGCGTCCGAGGCGTTGGCGAAGAGCGGGGGCTGCAGCACGGCGCCGGCGGAGGGGGCCGGTTCCATGGTTGCCGGCCGGCTCCGCCGCGTCCCTCTCCACAGTGCGCCCTGGGCGCGGGGATCCGACACCAAGGGAGCCGGAAGGTAGAGGCCGCGGCCCCGACGCCGCCGGCTGCCGCGTCCCGGTCGCCCCGCTGTCTCTGCGCCTCCTCCGCCTGCCTCGCACCCGCACCGGCCCAGCCCCCGACGTCCGCCCGCTCTCCTCGCCCGGAGCGCTGTGAGCCAGGAGCAGCCGCAGGCTCCTCGGACGCGCCCGCCGCGCTCACCACGTGGCCCGGAGGCGGCCGCCAGTCTGCGCCCGCGACTGGGGGCGGGCGCTGCACCACTGGCTCGGAGCTGGGCAGGGGAGGCCTCCCGCCCCCTCCCTAGGGATGCTCCGCCGGCTCAAGTGCGCCCCCGTCCCAGCCTGGACTCCCCTCCCACCCCCTTGCTACTTTGGTGTCAGAGGGACCTGGGTGTGGATCCCGCCTCCCGCCCCTGCACTAACCGGCGGAGTGACCTTGTGTAAGTCATTTAACCTCCCTCAGCTTCATTCTCTTTGTGAGATGAGGAAAATCGTACCACCTCCCTCAGAGGGTGGTTGGGGAGACTGAATAAAATGATTCGAACAAAGAGCGTAGCGCAGTGCCCTGCGCACAGTTACATGCTCCGTAAATCACCCGTATTATCCGTGCCTTTCTTGCATCCCATTCATTCGCTCAACAAAAATTTTGAAGGTGCCTAATAGAAGAGCCAAGTGTTTGGGGGGACCCTCTAGTACACAAAACCAGATGCAGCCTCTGCTTCCTGGGGCTTACAGCCCAGTGCAGGAGAGAGAGAGAGAGCAATCCTAAAATGCCATTAAGATATAGGTACGAATTGAGAAAGTGGCAGGGTGTGCAAAACGCCCGGGTCAGGACAGCTTCCCTGGGGAAACGACACTTGAGGTGAGGGGTGAAGTTTGGTGAGGAACTAAAGGAAGAAACAAGGGAAGAGGATTCCGGATAAAGGAAGCAGAGGGACTGAAAGGAAACCAGGAAGAGGAGAAGGCAGGAAGTGAGGGGGCGATGAGGTGGTGGGCAGGTTCTTGAAGACGACCTTAAGGAGCGCTCTGGCTGCAGTGCGAGCCGATAGAAGTGGGGCACTTGGCTAAGTTATCCTTGCCACACCCCTTCCAAGACCTAACCATTCCAGATTAGAGCCATCCTTCTCCTTGGGGTGCCCAGCCTTTCCAGAATATTTTCTCTACCAAGCATTACTCTGTTCCAGGCACTGTGATAAGCACTTTATCCATGCGCCAACACTTTGGAGTAGCTTCTGTTATTATTGTCCCCATGTTACAGATGAGAAGACTGAGACTCAGCACCAGATTATCCCACCTATCCGAACTGGTCTCCCTCCTTAAAGGGACTGATTGACCCCCGCATCCAGGAGAGGGCTGGGGTCACAGCAGGTGCTCAAGAAATGCTTTTTGGATGATAAAGATCCCAAAGGGAACTGAAGTGGAACAATATTAGGGGTTCTGAGCTCTAGGCTCTGGGGCAATGCTCTTGGCTCTGTGTGTGGCTGGACAAAGACCCCTCCCTCACCTCACCCTCTAGCTTGAGTCATCCATCTATGTGCAAGGCTCCTATCCTTTCCCGGAAAAAAAGCCAGAATTCCCAAGCTCACCCTCTTCTCCATTTTCTCCACCCCACTTAGCTGCTGTCCAGGCACCTCTACCAACTACAGCAAGTCCCCCACCCCAGGGCTTTCCCACTCAACCACCTAAAGACTTATCAGAGATTTTTGCTGTGGTCACCTGCTGCCAAAACTCTCTCCCCTTCCCAAAGGGCCTGGTACTCACAGACGTTTCTAGTGCCAGCGGAGAGAAATTGGGACAGGAAGAAGGAGGGCTACTTTATTGGAATCCTGGTCCCCTCCCTAACCCTCCAAGCCAAGTTTTTTCCTGCCTCAGGACATTTGTACATTCTATTCCTTCCACTCGGAAGGCTGGACCAATTCCCCAGCCTAAGCGTTATTTATCCCTCAAGTTTCAGCGTAAATATCACTTCCTTTGTGAAACCTTCACTGATCTCCACGCCACCTCCAACTATCCCAGCTCTCCTTATTATGCGGTCTCTTCTTTACATATTAATAGTTTCCCATGTATTTATTTGTGTAATCATTGGATTTTTTGTGCATCACCTTCACATAAAAAAGTATTGTGTAAAACTAACCATTGAGTACTATGCTCAGTAACTGAGTTGACAGGATAATTCACACCCCAAACCTCAGCATCACAAAATATACCCAGGTGGCAAATCTGCACATGGACCCCCCTGGATCTACAAGAAAAATTGAAAAAGGCTGGGCACGGTGGCACACACTTGTAATCCAAACATTTTGGGAGGCTGAGGCAGGCAGATCACTTGAGCCTAGGAGTTCGAAACCAGCCTGGGCAACATGGAAAAAACCCTGTCTCTACCAAAAAAAAAGACTGTTAAGCATGGTAATGTGTGTCTCTAGTCCCAGCTACTTGGGAGGCTGAGGTGGGAGGATCATTTGAGCTGGGAAAATAGAGGCTGCAGTGAGTCGAGATCGTGCCTCTGCACTTCAGCCTAGATGACAGCAAGACCCTGTCTCAAAAAAAAAAAAGTTGAAACAAACATAAAAAGATCTTGTGCATTTCTGTGCCCTCCACCTTAGTGCAAGCACTGACACACAGATGCTCACTTGATGAGTGACTGAATAAAGAAGCTCAGTTCCAACTTTGGTTACTTCATTTTTTTTTTTTTAAAGAAGCTCACAATCAAGAAGTTGTGAAAGAGGGCTGGGTGCGGTGGCTCACGCCTGTAATCCCAGCACTTTGGGAGGCCGAGGTGGGCAGATCACCTGAGATCAGGAGTTTGAGACCAGCCTGAACAACATGGTGAAACCCGGTCTATACTAAAAATAAAAAAAAAAAAAAAGCTGGGCGTAATGGTAGGTTCCTGTAATCCCAGCTACTTGGGAGGCTGAGGCAGGAGAATCGCGAATCGCTTGAACCTGGGAGGCAGAAGTTGCAGTGAGCTGAGATGGCACCATTGCACTCCAGCCTGGGTGACAAGAGCGGAAGTCCATCTCAAAAAAAGAAAAAGAAAAAGAAAAAGAAGTTGTGAAAGATATGTAAATGACCAAGTACATGAGTGAAATCATTGCTAAGAAAACATACATGCCGACTGGGCTCCGTAGCTCACATCTGTAATTCCAGCACTTTGGGAGGCCGAGGAGGGCAAGTCACCTGAGGTCAGGAGTTCAAGACCAGTCTGGCTAACATAGCGAAACTCAGTTTCTACTAAAAATACAAAAAATTAGCCAGGCTTGGTGGCTCACGCCTGTAATCCCAGCTACTCAGGAAGCTGAGGCAGGAGAATTGCTTGAACCCGGGAGGCGGAGCTTGCAGTGAGCCGAGATCGTGCCTGTGCACTCCAGCCTGGGCGACAGAGTGAGACTCTGTCTCAAAAAAAAAGAAAGAAAGAAAGAAAAAAAAAATACATGCATGCCAAGTGCAAGTGAATTGGAAATTCAAAGGCTTCTAGGGAGATTCCACAATGACTTTCTAAAGTGAAAACTTGGAAATGATCTTTTTGGGGGGGTGGGGGACGGAGTCTCACGCTGTTGCCAGGCTGGAGTGTAGTGGCACGATCTTGGCTCACTGCAACCTCCGCCTGCAGGGTTCAGGCAATTCTCCTGCCTCAGCCTCCAGAGTAGCTGGGATTACAGGTGCGCAATACCACACCCAGCTAATTTTTGTATTTTTAGTAGAGACCGGTTTCACCATATTGGCCAGGATGGTCTCCATCTCTTGACCTCGTAATCCACCTGCCTCGGCCTCCCAAAGTGCTGGGATTTCAGGTGTGAGCCACCGCACCCAGCCTTTAATTTTTTTTTTTTTGGTAGAGATGGTGTCTCACTATGTCGCCCAGGCTGGTCTTGAACTCCTAGGCTCGAACTCCTGGGCTCAAGCCTCCCAAAGTGCTGGGATTACAGGCATGAGCCACTGCACCTGGCCTTCTAGTCTACTTATCTTTAAAAGACAGTCTCATTTCTGTGGTCACAAATTCATATAACAACGCTGTTGGCTTCCATTTATGGAGAGCATGTTCTATGGCAGGCAATGGGCCAAATGCTATGTGGATTATCTCATTTAATCTCCAAGCAGCCCCATAAGCATATAGAGTGATTATTATTCCATTTTTCAGAGGTTAATTTACCTACCCAAGCCAGAACTGAGATGCCAAGCCAGGTCTGTGTGACTCCAAACCTCAGTCTCCTGACTACTAGACTATGCTGTCTCCCAGAACAAAGACTAGAAAGTCATCCAGAAAAACATACTCCATCCGCCTTTGTTCAGCAGAGTTTCCCCACCACCCTGGTGTAGGGCAATGATTCACTTGGAGCTTGGGAGATTCTTTATTATTTTCTTTTTTTTTTTTTTTTTTTTTGGGAGTCTTGCTCTGTCGCCCAGGCTGGGGTGCAGTGGCTGGATCTCAGCTCACTGCAACCTCCGCCTCCCGGGTTCAAGCGCTTCTCCTGTCTCAGCCTCCTGAGTAGCTGGGATTACAGGCATGTGCCACCACTCCCGGCTAATTTTGTATTTTTAGTAGAGATGGGGTTTCTTCATGTTGGTCAGGCTGGTCTCGAACTCCCAACCTCAGGTGATCCGCCCGCCTTGGCCTCCCAAAGTGCTGGGATTACAGGCGTGAGCCGCCGCACCCGGCCACTTAGGAGATTTTTTAGTTCATCTCCACTGTTGGGGGGAACCAGGGTAGACACAGTCCTCCACACCTGGGTCACAGAAGAGTTTGAGCTGTGTTTGGAGCTTGTTCATATCCTGACCTCAAGGTGGAAGAAATGAAGAGGAAAACAATGGGAAATCCTGGGCTAACCCAGGGCATCAGAAGGCGTCAGCAGGAGAGAAACAGAAATCACTGAAGGAGTCAGAGCAGAAAGGAACTCCCTGGGGAAGCTATTAACAATTTAGTATGTGGGAATGTGGCTCCCACCTGCCAAAGAGACAGAGCTGCCTGATAGAAAATACAGCGGCTGCCTCCCAGTGAGCAGGCAGCTCCCCTGGGTTGCCTCTCAGTCTGGCTCCATCAGCAATCTCCAGGAGGGGGAGGATAGCAAAGATAACCATAAAATAATGCAAAGGACTTTTGCCTTTCCAAAGTACTTCCAGGCCAGGGGCAGTGGCTCACGCCTGTCATCCCAGCACTTTGGGAGGCTGAGGCAGGCGGA